ATTTATTATATTATTTTCTTTTATTCTTATTAAAGATTAAAATTTTAATAGACAGAAGTATATTTCATATTGTATAAATTGATTAAACAAATCAAAGTTTATATAACGTTGCTTTTTTGACATTTCTTTTTTTTTAAAATTCTGATAGTTTTTCGAAGAAAAATAGTCAGTGAATACATGAACTGAAGTTTTTGTGGCTTCTATTTTCAATGATAAAAATTGAAACTAAAAGTCATCGAAGAGAAAAAGTCTCTTCTAAGAAGAAAAGAGAGCATTGAACGACATAAAATATTAAGATCTCTTGTCAAATCACATGAAATATATAATGAGAAGATATTAATAATAAAAATAAATAATCCAGTGCAATTAAAAAAAGTTTCTTTTCGAATTGTCGAAATAACTAAGCAAGATCATTTTTTATATGATTGAAGAAACTTAGAACATAATAGTCGTCTATGAGAGACTTTTCACTTGCTGATAAGTGTTTCTGTTGCATATTACTGTTATGATTTGAAATTTCTGTAATTTAAATTAGAATAATAGTAATTAGCAAACGATAATAAATTAGCTTTAGTTTTTCTATGTTTATACAGATAATCTATTATCGAAAATCTTTTTTTCTCAATTTGATAGATAGAATAGTAAATTAAATGATAATTAATATTTTAGCTGCAGCAAGTCATAATAGTGAACTTGAAGAATGTTTTAAATCAGTTTTAAAAGACAACGAAAGTTCAAATGGTGGTGTTTGTTCTTTTTTTTTGGTGATATATGGGGGTACCCATAGGTCCTTAACCCTTTGGCGGTGGGCGTCCCATATATGGGACGGTCAGACGTTTCCCTTGATATAAGTATTAAATCGTACTCGAAACTGCAATTTGATACTAGTACTTAACGAGTTTTGTCTATTACAATAATAGAGAGCCTTGAGCTGGTGGGAGTTTTGCAAGAAAGATGCACTTTTAATGCGTGACACCCTGTTTTGATACCTATCATACACTGAAGTACTTCTAATAAAAAGTATATTATACAGGGCGGAGCCCTTTGGTTTCTAGTAGGATTCCTAACAATAAAAAAGATCCCTTTGGTTGCCAGCGACGCAAGCTTTTTACACACTGCAATACGCACTAGTTTCCATTGGATACGATAAAGTTGTTCTAGTAAAACTGACCCCGCCGCCAAAGGGTTAAGGACAATTATATGGGGGTAGGCATAGACTCTCAAGGAAGTAAGACAGTAACGAGGTAGGTAATAAGGGATAAAGCAATAAGGAGAAGGCTACAAGAGTTACAAGGAATATCAGGCTATAAAGCCGAAGGCTATCTGGACTATAGAAATATGCGCGATATAAGAATGTCAAGTCGTAGGGCTATCAATCTATATGCATAATATCGGGTGTCTGTATGTCTGTTACCGGATGAAGACGTCTAAGGTCATACATTAAAGGAGGAAACAGCCGTGCAGTATGCACGAGTTCTTGCTAGTATAATATTATTTTTCTTCTTTCAATCAAAATAAAAACATTTGATTATCTTAATTTCTGTATGTTTTGTGATTTTGTTTCAAAACTATATTTATCAAACCTTATGAATGTCTTTAATGAATAGTTTCTTCTTATTCTTTTTTTCTTTTTTTTTTCAGATGTTTGCCCTTAAGATATTTACCAATTTATGTACTATTCAATCAAGTAAATAAATTGTATATTTCAATATATATAAATTTTGATTTATTTTAATTTTTTAGTTCTTCAACATTCAATACGTACAGCAAAAATATTTAAACCAAATTTACTTCTACCGAAACATCGTAATATTAAAGTAAAAGATGGTCAATGGGTTGAAAAAGATACTGTTCTTACTTTACAGAACAATCTTGTTTCATATTCTGGCGAAAATGTAAATAAAATAAAATAAAAAAAACAAACTTCTTTTAAAAATTATTTATGATGATTTTATATTGATTAGACATCCGTCGCTTATGATTATACAATTCGATCAACAGTACCAGGATTTGTTGTAATAACAACTGAATCTGTAAAACCATATCCACATAGTCCATTATTTCGTTATGTTAATAGTGGAAATGATGTTAAACGAAATTTTATACATATTTTACCACCACGACGTCAAGCATTTTTTCGTCTTATTGATCAATTATAGTAATCGATTAATAATGATTTTTTTTCAATGGTAGGATAAGAAGAAACAAAAAAAATCTAATCATCGTTGTTCACCAATGTTGTTTTGTGTTTTTTTTTTCTTTTTTGTTGTTGTTCATCTTTACATATATATATATATATATATAAGTATAGCTTAATGTAAACGTCTTTGATATTATGTGTCAATGTTGTTTTGTAGATTGTCGTATTATATACAACAAAATTTTATTTTAGCCGCGATGAATTCAATTTATTAAATGTGAATAATTATGAAACAATTTATCTATTCGAACAGTATTCATCGTTAATATTAAAAATAATTATAATGACTGTTGTTGTACAAACACGTGATCGTTCAATATGTTGTCAAAAATCTTATGATTTATTTAAAAATATTGAACGTCAAAAAATTCCATTAAATAAATTAAATCCATATCAAATTAAAATACGAAATCAAACAGTTTGTTTTCGAGATTTAATTATACGTTATTTACATACACAAATACATCAAACAAGAAATTTTTCAAATTTTATATGTCATAATTGTTCAATGATATTATTAGATATTGAACAATGTGCAAAATATTTACGTAAAACAATAAATCAATTAAAAATAAAATAAAATAAATCAAATCGTCTTCGAACATCATCATTATCAGCAACATATCAAAAGAAAAGACAACAACAAACAACAATTATTAAAGAAGAAGAAGAACAATTACCTATTATAAATTCAGATTCTGACGAAGAATTTGATGATATTGACGATGAAGAGGTTTGTTAAATTAATATTAGATTAGAATAACAGATATATATATATATATATATAGATCGATAGATAGTACAAATATTAAGAATAAAAAGTAAATCATCGACACAGTTTTTTTAACGGCTTGTTCCAGTGTGTACTAACTACACAGTCGATGGTTCCGATTCCAATTTTTTGGGAACCGTCTTCGACTAATAACCGATTCTTCAGGTCGAGTTTTGTTGTTATAGGTTTTCTAAGCATTATGAAGAGTTGTGAATCGAACTAAAATTATACAAAAGATATTCCTTCTATAATATTTAACTATTTCGATTATAAAATTCCACAATAGAATTGAAATATTTTTCTATGGGGAAAAAAAAACTTATTGTTACATTAATTAATATTTCAGAAGATATTATTTATAAAATATCTAGATTTGAAAAAAAAAAATTTTTTTTTCTACTTTTTTAGGAGTTCGATGATGAGCAAGATGATATTAAACCAAATGTATCAACTAATATAAAATCTTCAAATCAATCAAAATCTCTTCATTTTACACCATCATCATTATCATCATCATCCGGTAGTAATTCTTCATCAAGT